TGTGTGTGTGTGTGAGTGTGTGTGTGTGTGTTGTGGGGATGTTGGAAAATGAAGCTCCAAAAGTTTGTGAGGCACTTTAACTATTCAGGCTAATATATATCATGATTTAAGAACAGGAACCTAGGATGAGGAATAATACTGGTGTTCAAAGTCAAAGTGAAAGAGCTCAGTCAAATGGTGTAATCAGAAGAAGGGAAGAAAGTGCTGTTGCAGCTTGTGTCCATCAGGAGCTTGTGAATCCTGTTCATCTGTGACCCCCCTCTGTGCTCCATGGTACTCTCTGTATGTTTGTATCACGATTCTTCCCACACAGTTTTGACATTATATCTTAAGTTTATATTTCTTATTCAACCTTGAGATTCATAAAGGAGACTCATATTGAAGATTTCATCCTCATATCCCTACTATCTGTTCATGGCAAAGATAAATGTTGTTAAAATAAATTGTTCCCACGTGTGGTGGTGCATGTTTGTAATCACAGCAACTCGAGAGGCTGAGGCAGAAGGATCACAAGTTAGAGGCCAGCCTTAGCAACTTAACAAGACCCTAAGCAACTTACAAGACCCTGTCTCAAAATAAGGAATGAAAAGAGCTGGGGATGTGGCTTAGTGGGTAAGCACCCCTAGGTTCAATTGCTGGTACCTATATACACACACACACACTCTCTCTCTCTCTCTCTCACACACACACACAAAGAATTATTGAAATGGAAATCAAGAAAAGAGAGAGTGAATAATCTGTAGGCTATTTGGTTGCAGATACTCAATTTGAATTAGAAATAAGAAAAGAGAGAGGTTGGGGGTATAGCACTTGTGTAGCATGCATGAGACCCTGTGCTTGATCTGTAGCACCATAAAATAAGCCAAAGAAAGAAAGAAAGAAAGAAAGAAAGAAAGAAAGAAAGAAAGAAAGAAAGAAAGGAAGGAAGGAAGGAAGGAAGGAAGGAAGGAAGGAAGGAAGGAAGGAAGGAAGAAAATTCAGTATAAGGCCTATAGCATTGTTCATGTAGCTTACAAAACTCAACCCTGGACCTTAGGTGGAAACTAGACCAAGAAGCTAAAGGCCACCAGGAATTCCATCTCTACTGCTCTCGTACATTTTCTTCAGTAATTTCTTTCCCCAAACCAGATTTCTCTGCATCTCTGGCCTTCAGAGTTTATATTTTATAGTTCCCATCTCCTACTGAGTATAATTTCCTGCCCTAACTCTACAATCCTGGTCCAGCATGAGTCCAGTGTCCAAACCAGAACTAGGTGTCCATGACCAGGCTTCAGGCACAAGTGAGAAGAATTACTGCAAGAGACCCAGCTGTGTGTACTGGGAGCACAGAGGAGGAGTTAGACATCTCTACAATTACCTGTCACATGTGGCAGAGTCAGACATGTAATCTGAACAAGAGAAGCTGATGATGTGTCAGAGAAGTTAGCACTGGTGTAGGGACTCTGTCTCAAATAGGCTGTTTTCACATACTTTCCCTTGGAGGCAGAATTGCAGGGCACAACACTGGTATCAGCTTGTCTACAATAGACTGGGCAGTATATGGATCTCAGGTGGCTCATTTATCAGCTGTGTGATATGGACATGTTCTTTGGCCTTTCTGTGCCTCATTTTTTACATCTGTGAGTCTAATAATAATTTCTAACCTACTTACACAATAAGATTATTTTGACACAGTAAACAAAATAACACATAGAAAGCCAGCAGGACAGTGCTTCGTCCTTGATGCTAAAACCATGTTAAATACTATTGTTATTGTCATTTTAATATGATCCTAAAACTAACAGATCCTGAGGCTCTTTGTGGAGTTTGTCTCTTTTTAAGACAAAAGTTTTATGGTTTCCAAATATCTCAAGATTTGATTTCTTTTCAAGGCTCTGATCTCTTAACTCCAGTTGATTGAACATTCAATTGGATGTCACTTCAGACTCAAGGGAATCAAGACCCAATCCATGATTTTTTCCTTAAAACCACTTTACAAATTATTCCACTTACTGTTTTAATAGCACGAACTTTTCCTCAAAACTGGATAAGAAACCAGGAATGATGGAGAATTAGTTTTCAGAGGATCTGTAGTCACTTGATTTGGGGATATTTTTGACTTCTCTGTTTCTTACCCTTGGTCTCACCATTCTTCAGGTTCTATTGATCTTTTTTCATGTAACTGCAGGAGAAATAATAAGCATTTATAGGGACTTAGGAAGTTCAAGAGTGATTCTAAGCACGTTTACAGGTGTTAGTTAATTTAATCAGTTAATTTAATCATCGTAACAGCACAACGGGACACATACTATTATCATTCCTGTTTACAAACATGGAAACCAAGACATTAGTAGTGAAATGACTTTCTAAAGGCACCTGCTAGTGGACAGCAGTGAGCAGGCAGCCTCACCACAGAGCCTTTACTCCTGGGCCCTAAGCTACACTGTTGCTTTTGATGAACCTTGAATCTCTTTCCATTACCTTACCACAACTTGAGCAGTGGCTCACATGACTTCTAATAAATAGATTGCTTCTTACACCCTTAGATTGTGTTCCTTATAATATAACATGCAGGTTGTTATGAGATTGCTTTTAAACACTGCTACTACTATGTCATTACTTTGTTCAAAATCTTTCTGGGCTCCCTGTAGTCTATGATGTATGAAATAAATTCCATTCCTGGTTTGTTTGTTTTGGTGCCAGGGACTGAACCCAGGGCCTTGCACATGCTAGACAAAGGTTCTACCCGCTGAACTACACTCCCAGCTCCCTCATCCCTGTTGGTTTGTTTGTTTGTTTTTGGCTGTATGTAATCTGGTCCCACACATTCTACTCAGCTTTATTTTGCTATCTTCCTATCCTATTATCCATCACCTCAGTTGGGTTGATCTTTTCACCAATCCCATAAACACATATACACTCCCGCCTCTGTGACTTTATTCATTTCTACAGGTCTAAACTTTATTTGTCCATTTAAAATATTGTGGCTCTATGAACCTTTCCTTGATGATCTCCTTGACAGAATGTGGCCTTTTCTTCCCTGTGACTCTCATAACACTGACTTTGAACCCTTCCTGTGATATCATATTCTGCTTTTTATTGTAATTAGTTGTGTAATTTTTTCTTTTCTCTCCTTGTTGGCTCATAAAAGACAGAAAGTATATTTTGCTAATCTTCTGATGCTCAGCAATGCCTTTTTTCCACATGGAGCTCATAGTAAGTGGTCAATAAATAGTGATAATCAATATAATGGAATTCTTGTTTTATCAACCCAGAATGTTTCTCCTTTCCCTTTCTTTTTGTTCCAGTCTTTTACAAAAAACCTAACTCTCAAACGAAGCTTTCTTGACTTTTCTAGTCTTTGAAGAGAAATGTACATTTTTCAGAAGTCTCGTAATACTTAGGTTTGTTACCACATCTTGGTCTATTCCTGTGGCTATAACAAAATACCTTAGGCTGCGTAACTTATACACAACAGAATTTTTTTTATAGATCTGGAGGCTGAGAAGTCTAAGACCAAGGCACTGGCAGATTTTGTATCTGATTGATATGCTTACAACATGATATTTTCTTGCTGTGTCTTCACATGGTGGAAGGTGCCAACTTTGCAGAAGAGATGACCAGAAGGCTTTCAGGATCCTTTTTCATGACAGTGTTACTTCCATTCATGAGAATGAAGGGTGAAGCCCTCATAGCTTAATCACTTCCCAATAGGCCCCACTTCTTAAAACTGTCATTGGGACTTCTGAACACAGATTTTGGAAGAGCACAAGCATTCAAACTATATTCAACATAAAATATAGTACTTTGTTAATTGTTTTACATGGCGTATTCTTGGTTCAAGTATTGCTACACATAGCCTGGTATTTAGAGATTCTCAAGAAATATTTATTCAAAGAATCAATATGTCAGTCTTGCTAACTAATTATAAGGTCTCTAAGATAAGATCATGCCTAATGTATATTCCCCATATCCTCAGAGCTCGCCTCATACAATATTCACTTACTGCGTGGCTCTTGGATTTCCATTGCAAATCTGTCCTTCATTTGCTGATGTTCTTTTCTTAGTGTGATGACTCTGAAGAGGCCTCTGAGTTCTCTGGCTTAATTTCTCCACTTAGCACAGGCAAGGGCAGGTTGCTGATAACAGAGATCTTTTTCCCAGTTCCTTTTAAAATCCTGTCCTCAATTCTGGACCAACCTTTCTTACAGTGATAAACCCCTACAATACATGGTGCAAGTGCGTGCAAGGAAAAGCCAGGGCTGGGGATTGCAAATGTAGACATTTGGCCAGGAGAAATCTTTCAGAGCTTGTTACTGTTACTTGCTATAGCATATGTGCCAAGAAAAAAAAAGCTATTCTGAAAGAACCTATACTGTTAAAGATGAGAGTGTTATGTTACAATCCTAATGTAATAATGAATGACTAGGGTATCTTCCCAAATGGCATGAAGTCTTCCAGTAGATTTTTAAAAATCAATGAAAAATAGCATTTATATAATAATAATTTTATGTATTATTCAGCCAATATGGTAGAAACCAACAGGAACTAGCATTGGACCTTCTTGGAGGAAAGCCTAACCTATTGTTTGCTGAGAGCACAGGGGAATCTGGGATAAGTAGACTCCTCACATTACACTGTGCACCTTTTAAGTCCTCAGGAACACTAAGCAGTAGCAAATGATTGGAGAGCTTTGAAGGTCAGAAGGGCTTCAAGTTTTGCTACCTTGGACCCACTCTTCAGGGTTGGTACTCAATACAGTGAGAGGGTGTCTTCACAGGTGCATGGAACATGGTCCTTACCCACTTTTCCTAGTTTTGCTTCTAGATGGAGAAAGAAAAAGGAACTGACAACTTCAATCAAAGTACCCCTGATGTTTCACTGGATCAAAGGAAGAGCTCCACATTGCCCAGAGCAGTGGATTAGCCAAGATGTAGAACCATGTTTATTAATGTTTTGTATTTATTTACTTGCCATATCACTGGCTTATATGCTTAAAAAGTTCTTTGTTTTAAATGCAGGTGAATCAAAGTCATCTGAGCCAGAATTCAGGAGGCCTGTTGTCGAGAGGTAAGCAGTTATTTTCCAGTGAATGTATTTTTCTTTTTAACAAACACAGAAAGCTTACTTTGGGTATACCATTTTCCAGTCAATGGAGAATTGTATCTGTTGTGAGATGGAAATGACTTATTTCTGCCTAAATGTCAACTTATTTTATATAGGGAAAATACAGACAATAAATCTTCCCATGGGTCATGAATAACTTTTCTCCTCTTCAGCAAAGAACTGTCTTAAGGAACTGCCTTAAGTTATCAGAACTAGAGTTTGTATTTCTCAAAAGAAGAAGCAAAAAAAAAAAAAAAAAGACAAGCAAAAAAATGCTTTCTGAGATTTAACCATCTTGTGGTGAAGAGAACATATTCAAGTAGTTGTTTTATGCACCTGTGTACTCTGTGACTCATTGTTGCAAATGCCGAGTTGCTATGCCAACTTCTTCTTCCATGCCATGGGTTTGTGTCACTCAGCTTCCAAAAGCAGAGTGCTGTCTTAGAGACTATCATTTACCAATATAGCATGTACACTTTAGGACATTTTAAAATGCTTCAAGAGAAATATGTACTCAACTCAGCTGGTGCTCCCCCTCCTCCAAGGTTGTATGGCATTTTAAAATTAGCCATTCTAGTCCTCTTATTTATTTTTACCCTCTACTCTCAGGCTTCTTGCTAATCAAAAGAGGATTTGTGGGATGGAATGGCTAAATAGGAAGTGAATAGGATGCTGTTGGTAGCTGTTTTAGCTTTGATTTTGATTTTTGGCAGTCATATGTCATAATAAACAGTGATGTGCAGTAATGATCAGCATGCTCATTTGCACTTGCCAGTCAATAGCATGCACACGAGCATTGACTATTATGTGCCTGTGATATGCCAGCTTTAAACAGATGTGTATTCAGTTTACTCTAATTCTGAAAAAAAGCCAAATCATTCACAGGTACACTTAGAACATAGATGCCTTCTTTAGAAAGAGTCTGAAATCTGTTTTGTTCTTTCTCTGGTAATACCGAGTACTTTTTTTTTTTTTTTTTGGTCTATCGTCACACAGCTTCATTCAATGTGGCGGTTTCTTTTGCTGTAGTTGCATTTATTTTACAATGACTAATTTGTGAGGACTGAATGTAGCCTATTGTCCTCAAGGGACTTCTAGATGTAATTGAGATTCAACACTAATAATTAAATAAATGAGCTGCCACATTTAGAGAGAGGAAACATAGATCACAGGTGTATCTTTTCTAACCATACAGAAAGCAGTGGAGTTAGGGCCTCACTGATTTTATGTAGGCAAGTTGAGATCTCACTGTCTTCTGCTCTTGTCCTGTGCCACATTATAACATTTTAATCAACAAGGGACACACACTACAGCGATCCTATAAGATTATAATATATCCAAAAAGTTCCAATCACCTAGTGATGTCATAATGTCCCAGTGCAATTGCTCACATGTTTGTGCTGATGCTGGAGCAAACATTTTTGGATACATTTAAACACACAAACACTCACTATTATGTTACAGTTGACTATGGTGTTCCATACAGTACCATGTGGTACAGGTTTGTAGCCCAGAAGTAAACATGACATGTATACCACATAGCTTATGTGTATAGAAGGCTATACCATCTAGGTTTATGAAAGTGCACTATGGTATTCATACAATGCTAAAATAGCCTAACAACACATCTCTCAGAACATATCCCTGTTATTAAGCAATCCATCGTTATATTAGGTATTTAATGATGGAACCAGTAGTCCAGGTACATCCTATACAACTGTGATGGTCACTGTGAGGAAAATAATTTATTTTCACCTCAGGCCTTTCTGGATGCCCCAAGGACCACCCAGACCTGAAAAGGTGAAATGGTCATTCTGTGGGCATACCTCCCCTACCTCTAATCAAAGAACAGGGGAACCATATCCCAAAGCCACAGGGCCATGACTATAGGAAGACACAGCAGGCCCATTTGTAACTCTTTCAGGTAGCAGGGCTCTAGAGTGCTTTAACTGGGAATATAATTGGGACATTAATGTATGATATATGATATGTCAAGATCAATGTAATGTTTTGAGCAACTAATAAATTTATGACGTTAAAAAAAAAGAAGAACAAATAAGAGGGGTTGGGGGAGGTTTCTCAGTGATATATCGTATGCTTGCCCTGGGTAGAAACCTAGGTAAAAAGAAAACAAACAGATTAGAAACCCCCAGGTCTCTGTATTGTCTCTCCCAGAAGAGCCAGGCATAGTATCATCTTATGCTTTGTTGGTATTTTCATGAGAGATCCAGAGCCTTATGGCTGTACTGCAAACTCTTCCTGCACTCATGTCAGTCTACCATGCTCCATTCACCTTTTTGGTCACACAGACAGCATTTTGTTCCTGGTCACTATTGTCTCATTTGTTCCCATCCCCTAAGAATTGAGTGTGTGGGAGCTATTGACCCATGGAAAAAAAAAAAAAAAAACTGATGTTGATAATTTAAAGTTTTCCCAGCCCCTTTTGTAAAAGTAGGTCTCTAGGCCCCATGCTTCATCTTCTGTATTCACCAGAATCAGTGTTGGATTGATGTGGTTAGAATGAAAGGGGAGTTCAACACTATTCTTTGTAGTACATTAGAGGGTGGGAATGAACACACAGCGAAAACTAAGAAATAAAAACCCTTTTATAAAATGATACATGAGAAATTTCTCTAGTAATTTAAAAGTAAGAAAAATTTTTAGTTAGTGGAAATTTCTTCTGTTAGATAAGGAGAAATGTGTAATCCACAGTTTCTCTTTTTGCACTGACTTGTAGAAAACCCACTGGTATATTTAATTTCAATGCCAGCAACTGTATTAGCCTTTGAGCCAAGAATCTCTTTTCAAGACTTTGAATTTCTATTTCTATTTTAATAATTCTATTGCATCCAGGTGTGCTAAATCATTTCATTTAAGACCCCTTTTGGGAAGAGGCAACATACATATGTGTAGGTATATAGAAAGGAAAGCCTTGTAGGTTACCCTGGTACCTCTTTTCCTTTATTCACAAGACAGATGAAGAGCCCATGAGCTGTACTTGTCAAATGATAGGGTTCACAATACTGAAAATAACTATTATAATACAAGGTAGAAAATCTATCTGACATTTAATAAGATGCATTTATTTTTACCTGAGGCATTGATGAGGTTGAAAATTTACTAACATGAAAAGGTTCAAGGAGAGAGTGAAGAGCCATTGCTAGGGATGTTGTAGTGGGGATTCATTCACATAAAGGAGATGGATGGAATGACCTTCAGGTCCTTTTTGATCCTGAGTCTCCATGATTCTGTGATTGAATTCTCACAAAAGGAAGGCTTCAGCTTCAGGCCTCAATGATGAGCACATAAAGACTGTGTCGACTCCCATCACATCTCTTGGGAATTCAAAGTACTGTCATCAAGGAGACATCTCAAATTATTGTGATAACACGGTGTTGTCTCCTAAGATTATGTAGTTCTTGTATCTGCTTGTTGTTGAAATAATTGGTATGAAGCCTGTATCTGTAAAGGGGACTTTAATATATAAAGGCAGGTTACATTATTATAGAAAAATATGAGGAAAATGTTATAGGAAAAAAAATCACATGACATTCAAGAAAAAAAATTTTTTTAAAATAGCCCCATGTTGTAAAAATGTCTGAAAGAGGTTGCAAACCATTTTGATTTGAAAAATAGATTGAAATATAAAACCTGTATCTATAGAACTTCCTTTGAAAACTTTTTTAAGTTCTCAAAATGTAGAAGGAAATGAACGGAAATAAAAATAAATAAATGCCCTGAATGGCTAATTCTTCAGAATGTAAATGTAAATTGAAGAAGTACTCTAATCCTGACATTTATACTCCTCACTCAGAGTGGAGCACGTGGCCTAATGTAGTCTATTATTTATCAGTGAAATGTTTTTCTACAGGAAGATGTTGACTATCACACTTCTTTAATATTCCTAGCCTGTCTCTTTTATTCCCCATGTGGGAAATTGTTATTTTTTTCCATTTTTGCACTTTAAAATGTCACTACCTACAAATCATTCCTGATGGTGAAGATAATCAACCTCAGAACTTCACAAACACCTTTAAATCAAGGTATTTGAAGGAAAATATTCCTAACTGTGTGCTTCTTATATGCTAGACACTTTTCTAAGAACTAGGGAACAAACATGAACTGAGATAATTTCCTGCCTATGGTGCTTGCATCCAGCAGGAGAGGCAGATAATTCTGTGGTATTTTGGTTTATTTTTTTTCACTACTGTGACTAAAAGATCTGACCAGAACAATTTTAGAGGAGGAAAAATTTATTTGGGGGCTCACAATTTCAGAGGTCTCAATCCATACAGAGCAGGCTCCATTCTTTGGGGCTGATGGAGGTGAGGCAGGACATCACAGGAGAAGAGTGTGGTGGAGGGAAGTGGCTTATACAATGATCAGGAAGTAGAGAGAGACTCCACTCACCATATACAAAATATATACCCCAAAAGCACACCTACAATGATCCAACTTCTCCAGCTACACTCCACCCACCTCAGTTACCACTTAATCCCCATCACTACCTACATATTATTGGGCTAAGGTTCTCATAACCCAATCATTTCTTCTCTAAATCTTCTTGCATTGTCTCACACATGCGCTTTTGGGGGATACCTCACATCTAAACCATAACTACTAGGATCTTATTATTATTACCGAAGCTACACAAACACATGGTGGCATCATCTCTCTCCATCTCAGCACTGATCCTCATGCCTCCCACCACTCACACTTGGGCCTACTGGGTTCTCTGCTTATACCAGACCATTTCCTGGACAAGCATTTCAGGCCTGTGTACTTTGCTGCATGCAGTTAAGTCTTCTTGGAATGTAGGTTATAGCCTACTTTTAGCTAATCTCATCTAGGCCAATACTTTAAATATTTTCTATACATCAGCAGCTCCCAAGCCTACAGTTCTGCAATAACCTTTCAGTTCATCTTGTATTTTTTTGTATCCAAATATTTGGCATCTCTTCTTA